TTGATCTTCATTAAATAGCGCTATATGATTGATGCGGTATGTGTATAGTAAAACCTTATACCCGATTCTCACGAGACAAAGTGGAACGATGCACGCTAAACCTCACGCTCGTGGCGCTCGATGTGAGGACATAACTCATTCAGTAAATTTGTGCACTCCTAAGGTTCTCTTCGTGTCTTGGCTACCCAGAAAACTGGTACGAGTTTCCTGAGAATTCAAACCTTGCTGTTGTTTGGTACAGTGAAGGTATGAGTGACACCACAGAAAGATAAGCTTCACCGTGTAAGCATATATACATATATGCACATACATATTTACACTACAAAATAAGTTGTAGGTTTGTTTTTTTTTGTTGAGTAGGGTGATTTGAATCTTTACCCGTGGTTAAGATATGCTTTGTTTATGAGAGATATTCAAACAAGGTTTGAGATCACGGAACATCAATGCTTAGAGACTTGCCGACAGAGACACTGCAAGCTTACCGGTGCTCTGTGCGATTGTCTCTCACAAAATCTTTGATTTTTGAAGTTGTAATTCGATTACGACATATTGACGATAACATTTTTGTTTAAATAATTGTAAATGCATACTTTGTTTTATACTACATAAACTTTTTAAAAATAATTAACAAAATATTTCTTTTTAGCGCCATTTTGGAATGTTGGTGGATTGTCTGTGTCATGTGATTAGGAACAGGGAATCTTCAGTTATGCAAACAACACTAGGTATAGTTTTCCATTCAAATAATAATCATGTGTCAAAGATAATAATACATGTAGCAATTAATAGATAATTAGTTGAATATGCAAATCAGTTTTTGTATAACTTTCTTTTTACTTATATATTCCAGGAAAACTAAAAGAAGAGTTAGAATTTGATCCCACTGCAATAAACGATTTGCATGTCGCCCTGTATTTGTTCCAAGATGCAGTAAGTCCATATGACACATATTCCATTTTGGTAAAATTTACGAATAAATCTTTATCCCTAGTCAGTTGAAATATACAGTAATTCAACTGATTATTGTATACAATATATTCAATTACTCAGTTGAATCATTGTTTATTTTATAGATATATTTTTCTAATGTATGAATACAGAACTTGACTGGATAAACCAGCTATTGCAATTCTCCTATACAGGGGCGGATTTAGGGGTGAGCCGGGCTGGCCCCGGGTCCCCTTTTTGGAAGGTCAAAAAAAAAAAAAAAAAGAAAGAAAAAGAAAACAATGATCGCCCAAAAGACATTAGAGGTTATTTTTGGGCGTCTAGAACACATAAATTTCGCGGGAGAATGTCCCCAGACCCCCTATGATATTGTTATCTCATCGGCCCCACTTTTGGCCCCCTTCCGGGCCCCCCCCCTTTTGGACATCTCTGGATCCGCCCCTGCTATATGTGGGAATACCCCTTGAATAATAGTAGAACAGTCCCCATGATTTGTTATCATGATTGAATCCCAACACGATGGCGTGCATTATGTATTATACTTTCCCCATGTCCCTATGACATCACCTATAAGAGGTATCATGTAGTGTTTTCTCTATTTTTTGTAGGTAACTGATGACTTGAAGCACCATATGAACAATATCAAACCTCACTGGATGTTTGCGTTGGACAATCTAACGAGAGGCGCTGTCCAAGCTGCCGTCACCATTCTTTTGCCAGGTGAACACTCTTTTTATCAAATCTGTATCCAGTGATGTATTTTTTTACAGTATAATTGAAGTAGTGTTTAAGATGCAAGTGAAAATAAATTGAATGAATGGATATGTATATTTTCACTTTACAAACTTACCAAATTGTTTAATATAATCCAGGCTAATCTATATTTATCCATGTTAATCCATTTTGATTTGGTTTTCTCCCTCTGATTTGTACTTATTTTAACATTGTTATCCAAGCAGCCATTACCATTCTTATGCCAGGTGAATGTTTTTTACGATAAAATTGTAGTAGTTTTAAGTGCAACTGAAAATAAATGAATGAAACATGCATTTTGACAGTACAGTACAGTCTTACCAAATTGCTCAGTATAATCCAGGCTAATCTATATTTTTCCATGTTAATCCATCTTGAATCTGGTTCTATCCCTTTGATTCATGTTTATATACATGGATTATTTTTAACAGTGTTAATTTATCCAAATCTATCCATGTTAATCCCTAGTATATTTTTATTATATTAGTCTTTCAGTATTGTCATAGTATTACTTTTATATTTACTGTTATTTGTTATATTTATCTTTACACAAAATTATAATGTAATTTTTATTTTTATAATGTTGTGTCATTGTATGAGGTCTCCTTTCCTTTAACTAACATTTTAATTGTTTTTACAGGTATAATTATATCTCATACGAAATTCATTTCTTTTTCTATTTAGATTTGGGTGCTAACTTAGCTCAGCAGAACCAGTCGTCACGTGTCAATGGTGATGACTATGAGGCCGGGGGTAATGTAGCAGTTAATTCCGGCAATTCAGGTGGTGCAACGTCTGGGGTGTCGACAATGAGTTCCAGTAAATCTAATGATCAAGTCGACTCAATGTTTAACGCTGCTTCTCACCTTATGCACCAGGAATACAACAGTTTAAGTAAAGAATACCAAAGGTGAGGAAAATATTTGTGTAGTTGCGAGGTGTAGCGGTTAAGGCTTTGTACTTTTCAGTCGTGAGGTTGCGAGTTTTTGGCTGATGCTCATCACGCTGCTAGTGTCCTTGGGCAAGACACTTCAACCTTTCCTCTCTTCAACTTCACACATACGTACGTACATACGTACATACGTACATACATACATACGCACATACGCACACACGCACATACGCACATACGCACATGCACACATGCATACACGCACGCACACATGCACACACACACACACGCATGCACACACACACGCACACACACATACACACACACACATACACCCATACACACACACACATACACACATACATACATACATACATACACACACACACACACACACACACATACATACACCCATACACATATACATACATACATACATGTATACATACATACATGGTAAGAAGTGGATAATTCGAAATTTGTAGCGCTGTATTATACATGCATAACATAGTGGAGTTGAATAGCTTGGTGATTAAGATGCTTGCTTTCTAATCCCAGGATCCTGGGTTCAATTTCACAGTAACATGATTTTTTTCTCGTGACCAAAACAACTCCACTCTCTAGCTTTTTCTACACTATCAAATTTCATAAAAAAAGCGTCACATAAAATGTGATGGAAAATAAGAGTTTTTTTTATATAATTTGATAGTATGTGATATGATGTCATCATACCCATATATGGGCACATCACATTTTTTTATCACATAAAATTTGATAGTGTAGACAAAGCTTTAGCCTCATAAGGAAAATATAGAGTGCAACAATTCACAGTTTGCTAAAAATGATGGCAAACGTTGTGTGTGCTGAAACCATGGATTTCTCTGTGTCTCAGTTTCTATTCCAAAAAGCTGCTCTCCCTCAACGATCAGGTGATATGAGGAAATTTTTAAAGGGGTGACCTGCTTGGGCATGGGGCTTTTTCTGGAGGGGTCTTCACCCTACCAACCCCTCTTAGATACATGCCTGCTTCTAAGCAAAATTTTGTCTTATGTTTGTCTTAATAATATGTGGTAAAAATTTCTCTTTTTAGTTTGGTGAAGGATTTAATTGAAACACAAAAACGATTAAATGAAGTTCTCCAGGGACGTTTAGAAGAGCATCAGTCATTACTTGAAGTACTTACGTAAGCCAATAGATTTTTTAACTATCCACCGACAGGTTCTTAAAATCAGTCTATACATGTAAATCTGAGGAGTGATAACATAACCACCTGCAGTCTTCATACACTACTTTTTGATTGCTAGCCTGGTTAAGCAGACTATTGCTAGTTCTATTTTTAAATGAGAACATCCAAAAAGTAAATGGAACAGTCATTCCTAGCCATCCTCCATCTACATCTTTGCAGCAATTCACAGGTCCTCATTCCCTCTTGTAGCAATTGTGAATTTACTTACAACATTTAAAAATGTTTCTTTTAGGCCACCAGGTGTGGTGTCAACCCCATCATACTTAGCAGGTTAGTAAATTTTGTTTAAATATTCTTGTTATTATTAATGTTGTTAATATTATTGTTAATTTTATTAGTATTATTAGTAATACATGTATTTTTTAAAAATTAATATTATCTTAAATGTTTGCGTACACCACATAGATAGTTTTAAAAGAACTGTTGTTCGTTGAGACATTCTCAACAAACAACATTTCTTTTCTGAACTATCTATGTGGTGTCCCGCAAACATTTAATATATCATTACTTCGCCATGCAAACCTTCAAACAGTATATTGTATCAACATTATTAGTTTTATTAATGTTAATATATATAATAGTTATTTTTTTTTTTTTTTTTTTAATAGTTAGTTTTGCTGCTGTTGGTATTATTATATTAAATGAAATGCAAATTTAACTAAATAGCTAATGAATTATTTATTATTTGTATTAAATTGTTATATATATTTTCAGAGTGTAATATGTATGATAGTGAACTCGTAAACTGGTTAAAAGCCTTGAACGTTGATTCTGACAGTATTTCAAAGGTAATTCTTATTTAAACACAATTTAACCACCAAGTGTTGGACATCTAATGGACAATTTATTTGCATTGACATGGTTTGAAAGTTTTGGCTTATTCTCTGGCTGTTCAATTTACATTCAAATTGTTCACTTATATGTGTCAATCAAGATCAATTCATAAT